GACAATTATTATGAGAGAAGTCAAATTTAGAATGCATATGCTATACACCCAGGTCAGATCTCTTCCAATCTCGCAGAGGGTGAAACATATGACTAACCAAATTTAGAGGGATTGAGAAGTAGAATGGTGCATATGTTGTGTACCAGGTCGGATGTATTTCAATCACGCAAAGGAGACAACATATGACTAACAGACAGGAAGAATTGCATAGATAGAAGATGCAGAGAAATAGAATTGCATATGTTGTAGTCCAGGTCGGATGTATTTCAATCACGCAGAGGAGGCAACATATGACTAACAGAAAGAAAGCAAGAAAATAATTTCATACAGACCTACTTTATCGGAATTCCACAGTCGCCCCATCAATACCGGAATTAAGGACAAAGTCCGTACATCGAGGAAGAGTTAAACCACAGTTCTAGATACAGATTATTTTAGTGTGACCGGTGCATTATCATGTATATCTCCTTGCTCAACCTATCTGAGTGTCGTATTGTCAGGCTAAATGGATCTATCTAGGTCAAGATTTTTCAAGTCTCTAGATTCCTTAAGTTCATTAATGCCTAGTCAAGTCCATTTTAATCTTTCGTGCCTACCAGCACATCGAACACAGAGCCTAGACAATTCTGATTCAGTCCCTTACACATGTTTTAGACTGCCCGTTATCACTTTATATTTATATCACTTCCCAAAACATCTCCCTCAAGCACATTTCATTAACACCATATTTTTTTTTTAATTTTTTAATTTTTGTTTTGTTTTTATTTCTCCTCCTAAATTTGTGCATAAGAGAGAAACAAAATTAAATGCGCAAATTTAAACTATCCTAAAACAAAAATTAGTCTTTAAAGCGAATCAGCTTAAGAAAAACTCAGGAGTATAGAGAAGAAAACTCAAACCGTAAGTCATCGATTGAATTTGCATCCAGAAGGTCTGAGAATAGCACGCGTAATCTCAGAACAGATCCGAAAATTCTTCATGTCATTAAGCACTAACCCCGTTTGTGATCTCTTCCTTTCTTCCTTTCTCGCAAAGGACACATACTCCCAAACAATGTTCTGAGTGTTGTACAGTTGAGAGATGCCTCCTATCATGTGCCAGGAACAGCCACTACCAACAAACCGAAGTCTGATGATATGCCTCCATAGCTGCTCCGACACAAAGCGAGATCAGTTGGTCTTTGGAACCCAGTCCATTTTGAAACTGGGTCGACCTTTGTCATCTACGCAAGATACATTCTCCCATGACATGTCCTGTTTATCACAAACAGAAGATGAAGAAATATTAGAATCGTTAGAAGATTTGGGAGAGTGAGCCTTTGGAACCCATTTGTAGTTGGGTTTAACCCATTTCTTTTTTGATCTGATGGGTGGCTCAGTACTTGCTTTTGATCTTGATGCCGGCCGTTGAGATGACTTTGACCTAACCGGTCTTTGTTTCACTAGAGCATCTCTTGGATTGGGCTTCTTGGCCGACATTCCCTTCTTTCCCTTGGGATTCGGATTCTTGTCCTTGTGGGTTTGATTCTTGGCCTTCTTCGTGTTCCCGTCACCAATGTCTGATCGTGACCTTGAGGGGTTTCTTTTGGAAAATCTCCCTCTTGGCGCGTTCTGCCACCCTTGTGTATAGTAGGGAACGTATGCGCGATTAGGACAATTTCTGGCAATGTGTCCAGGTGTTCCACAGTGAAAACATGTCCTTTTCTTCACTGTGAAGTTGTTTCTTCCTGCCCCTGGTGGCGTATCCTTGCCTTGTCTCTTATTTTTCCCACAAGCACAATTACAACAGGCACTCTGTTTCACTGGAATTGGTGGCCTGTATTTCTCAATAGCAGGTTGATCAGAAGCAGCTGAGTTCGAAGCAACAGATTCAGAGCTCAAGGAGATGTTGGTTTGTTCAATGGTTTTCTCCTTGTTCTCATCCTCTGCTACTTTACCTGCACATGAAGTAGATGTGCTAGAAACAGGAACATCAGTATTTCCAAACAAATCATCAAATATGTCAAAAAAATTTAATTCAGCAGGAGCAGATGTGGAAGTATCACAAAAAATATTGTCATTTTCAACATCAGAAACAAAAGGTTTTTCATTGGAAACAAAAACATCAGGTTCAGACTCAGTTTTGTTATTAGAAACAGATCCTTCAACTTCGTGCTTTGACTGATTTAAGGATTGATCTGCAGGGGAAGTAGACACGTTAGTACTTTCAACATTAATAAATCCTCCTGAAACAAAACCAGATGGCTTGCCATAAACCATGAATGGTTCGTTGGCAATCTCATCTTTACACAAAGGTTGATACTGATATGTGTGATTATAAGGAGGATGTACATTATCGTATCCTAAACCCTTCTGCTGGTTTCGTTTGAACTGCATGCAATGATCAATCATGTTGGCAACTACCTCGCTTGATCCATCAAATTTTCTAAAATCAAAATTTGCAGTATCAAATTGTCTCTTTAATGTATCAAGCTCAGTAGTTAACTCATCATTCAGTCTTTTGATATAATCATAAAGTTCATATTTTTCACTGTATTCTGTCTGAATTCTCTTAAAGTCCTTTATTTTTGTCTCTAACTGGGCCTTTAGGGGTTTCTGTCCTTTCTTGAGTTGATATCCTTCATATCTCAGGTCCTCAACTTCTCTTTTTAATAAATCAATTTGTTCCCGAAGAAACTTAATCGTAGTTTTACAAGATGGATTACATGAAACTTCATTGACTGAAACGTTTGAAAAACTCATTTTTTTAAGTATGCCCTTTGACTAAAAACTCAAAAGTCAACCTCAAAAGTCAAATTTAAAAAGTAAAACTCAAAAGTCAAACTGAAAAGCTAAATTTGAAAATTTAAAAGTTAAATGAGAAAGTCAAAGTTTAAAGTCAAATGTCAAACTTTAAAAGTCAAAGTCAAAATTTTAAGTAAAAAGTCAAAAATAAAAGTCAAAAATTAAAAACTAAATTTTTTTGGTTTTTTATTATTATTTTTTTATTTTTTGGTTGAAAATGGAATTTAAAAATAAAAGAAATTTGAATTTTGGGCTAAAAATGTCAAATTGGCTAAATTAGAATCGAAGAAAGACGCCTTTTGAATTAGATTTCGAAGAAATGAACCAAGGTGTCCGCTAGTCGAGTTGGTAAAACGCTGTGTTGCTCAACCAGAGGTCCCGGGTTCGATCCCCTTTACCCTCAAATCTGTTTCTCCCCCCCCCCCCCCTTTTTTTTTAGTGTATGCTAGGCGAAGATGCTGCTGCGAGGACGAGGCCGATGACGCGATGCGAGGACGTGAGAGGATCAACTCTGAAGCGAAGACCGAGGCTGCTGGACCGCAAACTCCGAGGACCGGCCGTAAACTCCGGGAAACCCTAGCCGTAAACACCGCCGCCGCCGCCGACCGTAAACCCTTCAAAGACCGTAAACTCTTCGCAGATTACGTGAAAAACAGCGTTTTTCACATCTTTTTGCTCCAAAACTCGATCAAAAACTCGTCTTTATCAAAAACGCGAAGAACAAACCCCCCCTAATTTTCAGAGATCTATCCAAAAACGCAAGAATCTTTCAAAAATAAGATCAAATAAGCTACAGATCTGACAAAAATAACTGATACAATCCAAGCTCTGATACCAATTGTAAGTCTTTAATCTGCTTGTGTATCAATCAGATCCGTTTGATGGTGCGGAATCCCAATCAAACGGATGATGTCAGATCAAATAGAAGAGAAGGAGAAGAAGAATAATATGAATCTTGAATGTATTGATGATATGAATTAAGTTCCTTACATAAGATTCACACACTTACACACACTAAAACTTCTTTCTCTCTCTCTTGGCCGTACACTCTCTTCTGTTCATCAATCTCTCCTCAACCACCTAACACCAATATATATATACTTGGGGAATATGGGCCATAAATGAGTTTACGGCCGTAAATGGGTTTACGGCCGTAAACACCCATTGGGCCGTAAACATGGTTTACGGCTGTAAACACCTACCTGGCCGTAAACCTGACCGTAAACTCATAAAATATTACATAAAAATACAATTGCTCAGAAAAGCAAAGTATAAACCATAATTTTGACCCAACACATTTAGTCTCTTGGGTGTAACACTTTAGAGACATTCTACTTTGGGTGCTCAACCTTTCTCAAGCATTAAGAAATCAACTCAAGGGTTCTTCAAGTTAACAAATTCAATTTTGTTATAAAATTGGTATTTCTTGACTATATTTTTTATTCACATTATGTTAGTATTCATTGTAGGGTTTAAATCTTAACTTGTTTTAGAAATGCTTCTGTTGCCTACTATTTATTCTATTGTTATGATTTATAAAACCCATCACTAACGATTTCATTTGGACAGCGTCGGTCAAAATGACAAAACAGACAAGTTTTAAAACTATAGAGACCAAGCGCGTATGATTTTTAATAGTAGTCTTGACTACATATGTTTTGGGAAACCATATAACCAATCTCATAATTTTTGTCTGGTTTAAATAATGTATTTTAGAACATAATGTTTGTTGGATAATAATAATTAAAAAAAAGCGCATTATTTAGAACAAACAAAATGCATAACTTATCAATTATTTTTTTTTATTTATCAAAAATAGGTTATCATCTTGTGTACCGAATATATTAAATTTCACAAAATCATGAATATTTTTATTTAAGTTTTTATTTTTGTTTAAACTTTAAATGCAAGGACATTTATGTAAATTCGAAAAAGATATCTAATAAGTACACAAACAAAGAAACTTTCCGCAACTCTCTCCTACTTGGAACCTACTCAGCTACTCTTTGCTTTATTTTATTCATCCGCTCAGTCACCTACCGGAGAGTTTAAACCACCGCCACCAGATCATCTTCTCCATATATACCGCCATCCACTACCCCTCCACCACTCACTATCTTCTCTCCCTCTCTCTCTCTCTCTCTCTCTCTCTCTCTCTCTCTCTCTCTGCCTATACACATATAGAGAGAGAGAAACACATAGTTAAACGACAAGAAGATGGGATCTGAGTTGACATACAGGCGGCACGAGCCTCAACCCACGTCGGATTCTTACTCGCCGAAGCCGAACAAGCCATGGCTCGCTGTCACTCGCCTTGTTCGTTACATGCTCCGGGAACAACGGCTTGTTTTTGTCCTCGTCGGCATTGCCATCGCCACCTCCGTCTTCGCGATCCTTCATTCCTCCACCAACACCTCCACAGGCCGCATGACCGATGCCTACTCCGTCTCTGAATCGGTCCAAATGACAAACCCGAGACGACCCGTTCTTCATGCTGGAATCGAGTCGTTCAATATGGGCGGGAAGATTCCTTTAGGTCTGAAAAGGAAGGGATTAAGGATTGTGGTGACTGGTGGCGCAGGTTTTGTCGGAAGTCATCTGGTTGATCGGTTGATTGCGAGGGGAGATAGCGTGATTGTTGTTGATAATTTCTTCACCGGGAATAAGGATAACGTGATGCATCATTTTGGGAACCCTAGATTTGAGCTAATTCGACACGATGTTGTTGAGCCCTTACTACTTGAAGTCGATCAGATTTATCATCTTGCTTGCCCTGCATCCCCTGTTCATTACAAATACAATCCCATTAAGACAATCATATCCTTAATTACTCTCATTCCGTCACCATTTAACTTCAAACTTTCATTTTATTATTACTAATTCTTTTGTGAATTCTCAATTTCAATTATGATCTTCATTTAATCACTAGGTATCTTAATCATCCACGTTTGATTACTACTACTTTTTTCTGTTTTCGAATCATATTCATGTTTGATTATTACTTATTTTCCGTTGGTGATTCCTTAATTCAAATTTCGATCTCACAAAACGAACGTAGTGGGAACATTGAACATGCTAGGGTTGGCAAAGAGGATCGGAGCACGCTTCTTGCTAACAAGCACCAGTGAGGTATACGGTGATCCTCTTCAACATCCTCAAGTCGAAACCTACTGGGGCAACGTCAATCCTATCGGTCAGTTCTTTATTCTTCTTCTTGTGGATGAAATCTGGTAGATTACTAATCACCATATGTAATTGTAATTAGATCAATCAGGGATTTGAATGGTCAATGTTTACTTCACCATTTGCGGTTCTCTGATTGGTTTCTGAATTTGCTTTAATTTGGTAAATTTGGGGGATCTGAGGGGCAAAATGGGGAAGAATGTATAAATATGAGAAAGAAAAAACGAAGATCTGAGGGTACATTGTTTGACAGGTGTTCGAAGCTGCTACGATGAAGGGAAACGTACTGCAGAAACGTTGACCATGGACTACCATAGAGGTGCAGGCGTCGAGGTTTGTTTTTTATTTTGAGATCTTTTACCTAAATTTTGAATATTGTTAAGGTCCCACCATATTGTGAAAATATCAACTCTTTTAGGCCAGCAATCACAAAAAATATCGAATTTGATCTGTGTGTGTGTTTTTTTTTTTTTGAGAAAAAACAATAATCAATAGTTTCATATTTCATCTTGGAATTAATGTAAACGCTAAAATATCATATTGACTTATCACTTATGTCTTCATTATTTGGTTATAATTCCCAAAGTATTGTGATTTTTGTCATTTTGTAAAAGAATATCTATAACAACAAAAAAATAAATGAAATACAATGTTTAAAAAGTCAAGTGTCTGTTGATATGTCATAGTGGAGCCTTTTATTTTATTTTTTGTTACAAGTCTAACAAATTGTCATTATCTTTTTCGGACTGTGCCAAAAGAATAAAAAAAGCATTCTTTTTTGGTGGCAAGTTTTCAATGTAATTTACTTTTATGCTATATAGTATTAATTTGTTTGTACACAAGCTTTATCGATCTCGCTGAATTTAAAATCTAATTTAGTATTAAACGAAAAATAAAAAGTTAAAATTGTGATCTGTAAATGCAAATTGTTACTATTGTTTCAAAGTTGGCTTTGTGAAAATTGAAATGTACTGTAGGTACGGATTGCGAGGATATTCAATACATATGGTCCTCGGATGTGCATTGACGATGGACGTGTCGTTAGTAACTTTGTTTCTCAGGTAAATTAATTATGCTTCTATTTCTAATTATAATTCTATTCTATTTCTATAAACAAACGATAATGTTTAACGAATGATGCAGGCGCTAAGGAAAGAACCACTCACTGTTTACGGAGATGGCAAGCAAACAAGAAGTTTCCAATATGTTTCCGATTTGGTTAGTAATGCATTCTGTTCTTTTTTCCTTCACATATCTCTATATCTCGCACTTGTACATATCCTTTAATTATCACATATGACAATTGTCATCATGAAAAATCAACCTTCTAATGATTTTTTTTTGAATTGGATCGGAAGGTTGAAGGTCTAATACGATTAATGGAAGGAGAACATGTCGGACCTTTTAATCTTGGAAACCCCGGTGAATTCACCATGCTCGAACTCGCCCAGTATATATATATATATATATATATATATATACATATATTATATCCTTTAATTATTTCCACTTTTCCAAAATCGGGTAAAAATGTGTAATGCTTTAACCATTGCTAAATACATAATGCTTTGGTCCCACAAATAAATTTTGACAATTTGTGTGGTCAACACAACAGGTGGTCCAGGAGACAATAGACTCGGAAGCGAAAATAGAGTTCAGGCCAAACACGGAAGATGATCCACACAAAAGAAAGCCAGATATTACTAAAGCTAAAGAGCTTTTGGGATGGAAGCCTAAGGTCTCTCTTCGCAAGGGTCTCCCTATGATGGTTTCTGACTTCAGGCAACGCATTTTTGGTGATCAAAAGCTGAAGGAACCTGCAACCACCACCACCACCACAGCATAGCCAAGCCAGCCGGGCTGGGTTTTTGTATAACTGTTTATTCCTAATATTGTATACTAGTTTTATTCATTACTTTTTTTTTCTGAATCAATGAATTTTTACCTAACTTATACTTTCATTGTTATAATTTAAGAAATAGTGTGTGCTTTGAAAAAAAAAGATCAGCAAGTATGCATCCCGAGACACGCAACACTTATAAATTCTATTTTCCAAATAGTTCTTTTGGAAAAGATGAGAGAAATGCTGAAAAGTAAGTTTGACACTTGAACAAAACAAAAATATTGATCAAAGATTTCTATTCAAGCCGGATCAAGATTAAGTACTAGCTAAGTGTGAGACCCGTATATTATATGAATTGATTAAAAAAAGTTAAATGTAAATTTGTAAGCTGTAAGTATTTTTTAAAGTAAACTTTTAAAATAAATATAAACAAAATGATGAATAAATAAGTTATTCAATCTATACTAATAAAAAAAATTATTGGTGTATTGTAAATGTTATTGGTGTATTGTAAATAGATGTAAACATCATTGGGATTTTTTTGATAAGATACAGGAATAGATGTCTTGAATTCCATAATCAAATTGATGTGTGTTATTAAATATTGGAAACTATAACGATTTTGTCCTTAAAATTTAGATTTAGAATAAGGAAAGAAAAAAAAAAGCATATTGATTGCAATTTACTATTACATTAATTACATTTAATACATTACATATATAAATATATATAAATAAAAGTATTATGTGGAGTTTTTTATTTTAAAAATTAAAAAAAAAAATTCAAAAATTGACATATGAATATTATTTATTTCAAAAATATTACAAAATAACAAATGTCAAAACTAATGAGAGATTGACATGTGACAGCAGAAAATATCTTGATTTATTAGAGTATATTATTTAACTATGTGTGAGATTCGTATAATACATGAGTTGACTAAAAATGTTAAATCTAAGGTGTAAATATTAATTATTTTTTAAAGTAAAATTTTGAAATAAATACAAACGAAATGATGAATAAATAAGTAATTCAATCTATACTAAAGATAAATTTATTGACTTATTTTAAATAATTGTCCTAAATATCAAGGTGTAAAAAACCAAGCATTTTTTAAAGTCAACTTTCAAAATAAATACAATAAAAAAATAAATAAGTTAAAGTCAACTTTCAAAATAAATACAATAAAAAAATAAATAAGTGACTAATTGAATATAGACTAATTAAAAAACTATTTACATATTGTAAATAGTCACAACAACCATAACATCACTCACTAGAATACGCATACACCCTATTCTCACTTCCTAGAGAAAGGCTAGACATCCCTCGACTGGTCAACTGACCCCACTTAACTCATCCATGAAACTTCTACCAACCCTGCAGCACTCGTGTATGCTAATCATACATAACATTGGATCCTATAGACAGTCGAATACTTGATTCTACCCTAAGACCACAACCAAACAAGGAATAGGAAATAAGGCTAAATCAAACATTCTCAGGCTATAAAATATTGGTTATGTAAAATTTTAATGCATACACTAAGCAACTACAGTAATGATGTCAATTTCATATAAGGAAGAAACCCTAGGCTATCAGGCATCAATTATTAGACAATTCTATCATGCAATTCCTGAAGATCCCTATGTAACATCCCAAAAACATGATCCAAAAATTTTATTTTTAATTTAAGCAAAAGAGTGTTCCATCATCATCCATACAACCCAAATAAAACAATTGTATCAAGAATCATAAAATCAGAGTGAAATATCAAGTGCGGAATCCATGTGGTGTGTGTAATGCAGTCATCTCGAGCTCTTCCCCTTGGAACTAGAAGTACCTGAAACATAAATTGAAAACTGTAAACACAAAGCATAGTGAGTTCCCCAAACTACCACATACCATACATAATAAATCACATACTGGGTCCCCGCCCGACATCGGCCCCCGCCCGGTTTACAGATCCTGTTATTCTCAGGCCTCACCTGTCACTGGGCCTCGCCCACTACACATGTACAATATATATCACATAGTCATGCTAACACATATAATGATCATAAACACCAACATATGCTCCAGTCATCGGGCCTCGCCCGACATCGAGCCCCGTCCGGTATACATAGCAGCACACAACACTTGCAAGGGTCACACAGACTCTTAGCAACCTGGCATAATCAATAAGGGTCAACATTGGTGCCTTAGACCCAATAGACTCGGTGAGGAAACTCACCTCGAATGCTAAATCTCACTGAAAGAAATCCCTAGCTGCTGCCCTGACGACTCCCCGAGCTATCAGTACAAAATAACACCCAATTAACACTTGGGTTCCAATATAAAACCAATAATCCATACTTGGGGTAAATGACCATTTTACCCCTGACCTAATTTGACCCAAGACCAAGGCCCAAATTCACAAACCAAAAGGCCCAAAACCAAAAAGTCATCTAAGGCCCCACTTATGGCCCAATTTTCCAAATTGGGCGCCCAAAACCCTTATATGGGCCTTATCCTAAAGCCCAATAATTTTCCTTAGTCCAAAAACTTGATTTCAGATGGCCTAATAAGGCCCACAACACTAAAGTCCAAGGAAATGGCCCAACCGAGGCCCAAACGATGCGAAGCCCAATCTGACTGAGTACGCGGGGCGTACTCAGCTGTACGCTAAGCGTACACGCTGCATGGCTTGTATGCTGCGCGTACTGGCTTGTACGCCCAGCGTACTCCTTCATTAAGTCATATGAAACATCCCAAAATTCAAGACCAAAAATTTCGTTTTAAACCATTAAATAAAACCAGAGTTATCAAAACCTCTCGTCAAAACATAAGTTATAGTATCTCAAAACATCATAATCAAAGTATCCATATCAAAAACATATGTCAATATATCAGAGTAAACATCCCAGGCTCAAATATTGTGGTGTGTGCAATGCAGTCATCCCGAGCTCTTCCCTTTGCTAACGGAAGTACCTAAAATCAAAACTGAAAACTGTAAGCACGAAGCTTAGTGAGTTCCCCATACTACCACATACCATACACATAATCACATATATTGGCCCCCCGCCCCTTCATCGGGCCCTGCCCGGCATCAGCCTCTGCCTAGCATCGAGCCCCGTTCGGTATACATATCTATTTATCCCAGGCCCCGCCTGTCACTGGGCCTCACCCGCTATACATATACAATCACAATCACATAAAGAGAACATACGCAGTACTATAAGTTCCAGTCCTAAGGCCTCGCCTATCATGGGCCCCGCCCTTACTCTGCTAATGATGAGATATGGAAACACGTCCACACTCAGCTAGTGGTGAGATACGGGACCCCGCCCACACCCACTTCCCTATCCAGGCACATACAAGTATCACACAGACAATAAGTATAACTAAACATGCAATTCATCGGGCACCATCCGACATCGAACCATAGTCCGGAACATACATATAAGCATTCCTTGAGCCCCGCCCGACATCAGACCGTAATCCGGAAATCATACAAACATTCATCGGGCACCGCCCGGCATCGAACCGTGGTCCGAGAAAACATACAATCATAAATACGGGCCGTCATTAGTGCCTTCGACCCGTCCAAACAGGAGGAAACTCACCTCGATGCTGAATCTCACGGTAAGAAATCTCTAGCGGCTGCTCTGACGACTCCCCGAGCTTTCCATGCCAAATATCACCCAATTAACAATTAGGTTCCACACTGTAATCCATAATCCTTACTTGGGGTGAAATGACTGTTTCACCCCTGGTCCAACAAGACTCACAATCGAGGCCCAAGCCCAAAACCATAAAATCCATAAAAGCCCATCAATGGCCCAATATTCCAAATTGGGCCCAACCCCTTACACGAAACAACCCTTTTGAACCCATTCCAGACTTCATTACCCTCCAGGGTCAACCTTGGTCAAAATCAAGTCAAGGTCAAAGTCAACATCCAAGTCAAAGTCAAAGTCAACGCCCCGAGTTGACTCAACTCGTCGAGTTACCCTTCAACTCGTCGAGTTTCTATGAATCACAGAATTGTGGTTTTGCGATCCAACTCGTCGAGTTCTTCCTTATCAACAGAATCGGGACATTTCAACTAAACTCGTCGAGTCCATCCTTGAACTCGTCGAGTTCCTCTGTCTGTTAGCTCCCTTTTACTCATTAAGCCATTATTCTTCAGATCTAAACTCTATACTTCAGATCTCGACTGATAATGCTCCTAGAAGGGTAAAGTTTCCAACTTTACCCACTAATATCCGTCCTAAAGAGATTAAGCTCAAACCCTAACCCAAAAGGGCCAAAGTCTTAATCCAAACCACCAAAACTACAAGATAGACCTTGAGGTCATAGATCTGGACTCTAGGGACTAAAAGATCACGTAAAGTTCTAGATTTCTACTAATGCATGGCCATAAGAAGCTACAAAAGGCCAAAATGATGGTCTAAAGGTTGCATGGGATTTCCATGGCCATAAAGTGTTGGATTAGGTGTCTAAGTTCACAACTATTCCTGGAATGTACTTGACCCGGTTAGCATGGTCCATTTGGGTTGCATGGCATTGCAATACTTGGATAGACCAAAATGAGAGAAATGACACTTAAGGTTTATTAATATATTATAAGTTCTAATATATTAATAATATTATTTAGTTAGTATTGATCAAAGAATTAATTTGGAATTAATTAAGTGATCAAAAGGAGACTAATTAAATATATGGGGTTGATTGTGTAAATCATCTATTCTTGTATAGTGGGCTAATGATCCATGGTTTGTGTGGATTGGGCTAAAACCCATAAGGTGCTCCATGGATAGTCCATGGAGGTTACAAACCCATGGATCATGGAATATGGAAAGCCATGACAATTAGGGTTTACCTGGCATAACCCTACTTGTGTCACAACTATATAAAGATCCCTTGTCTAGCAAAATCGGTACTACTACAAGCAAGTAAAGAGGGCTATCCGATTTTGAGGTGTTAGTGAACTTCTCTCAAGGTTATTCCAAGTGTTGTGGAGTTGTGTGAGACATTTGAGGCATCACACTTGAGGTGCTAGACTCACAAGGTTCTCAAGGAAT